AGGAGAAATGTTTAGGGTGTAATAGGTTTTTAATAATTTTCGAAAATAAAATCAGATTTAAAAATAATGGCAATTTGGTAAATAAGTGGAAACATGAGGAGAGTTTAGGTTTTTTAAGAGTGAATAGTAATGGACAAAAAAAAAGAGGTTGGTTTTGTGTTTGACTTGAAATTTTAGGTTGGTTTTGCAAAACCCCCTTTTTTATAACTAAGATTTATATAATTGGGTTATGTCTTAATTTAAAGAATGTTATGGTGTAAAATCAGTTTATCAAAATTTGTGGTGACGATTTTTAGATTTTGGTTTTTAGTTTTTAAGTTTCTATTTTTGATTTTCAGCTTTTGTTTGGGTTTTTAATTTTTAGATCCACTGAGTCAGTTTGAACTGATATTACCAACAAACAAATTTCAAATAATCGAACATCTAATTTAAAAAAAAATTGAAAATAGTTTATTTTGTAAATAAACAAAAGCAAAAACTATAACAATATGTTATCCAGAACAATGCATTTTGAATTTTTGGTTTTGGGTTTTAGTTTTTAGAATTGGTTTTTGGTTTTGTTTTACATTTATTTTTTTTGTAAATCAGTAAATTATTTAAGAAAAATAAAACAATAAATTATTTAAAAGTTACCATTAAAATTTATCAAAAAAAATGATTGTTATTTAACATAAAAATACAATAACATGTTTTAAAGTACATGATTTAAATAAAGGATTAATAATAGACAATTTTGTTTTGTTAAAAATATTAAATACAGTTGGGCCTGAAAATAATAATTGATTTTTTGATCCATTAAGATATAAATTTTATTCAATGTTAGTTTTACCTTAATAGTAAGCCTAAAAATCAAACCATATAATTTGTCCTAAAACCAAAAGTAAGCGCAAGACTATATCTCATAAATAACCATCGGTTTAATTTAAGTAATGCGGTTCAATTAACTATATGGCTTGTTGTAACACTCTAGAAAGAGTCCAAATTTAAATGACAATTTGTATTAGTAGATAAAAAGAAAGACTTTATTTTAATAGAGTAGATTTCCATTGGTTTCATATAATTATTAAATTTCCATTTTTTAAGGAATTGTTAAGATGCTAAATGGTATATTACGATTTTCACATTAATATAATTAGTAGATTTCCATATTCAATATTTTGATAATATATATTCTTTTAGAACATTTCATATTTGTAGGAGAAAATATGTGTTTTTGATAGACACATAGATATCTGTCGTATTTTGAAGATAATTTACATTAAGGTCGTCATGTTACATTAATTGTGTTGGTTTAATTTAAGTAATACGGTTCAATCAATTATAAGACTTATATTATTTGTAACACTCTAGAAATGGTCCAAATTTAAATGACAACTTATATCAGTAGATAAAAAGAATGTCTCTATTTTAATAGATTAGATATTTAAATTATTCATTTATTACTTATTCTGAATTGACCCATTTTCCATTTTTAAACATTTACTTATATGAATTAAACGATTAATGCAAATTGAGCTTTTTGATATGGTTTTCTAGGGATAAGTGGGTATTTGAAGGCTATCAATCAGCAGCGTTCAATCCGATAAAATCAAACTGATGAAATAGAGAAAGTAGTTTGGATTTGCTAATACTGAATAAATCGAATTAATTTAAGAAACAATATATAACTGATTAAACAAAAAATTGATTAATTAAAATATATTAGTATACTTCTATATGGATATGAACATTTTATAATAAGCTATGGGCTTAGCACTAGTCTGCAATAATCTAAACATGAAAACACTGATTTTATTAATTTCTTATTTGTTCTAAGTTAAAAAAAAAAAATCTCATTTTCATTAAATTAAACGAAACATATTTTTATTGGTACATATTTATGCTAAAATATAGTTCTTTAATAGTATTATGATATTAATATTTTCTTATTTATATTTTTAGTAGGGAAAATGAAAAGAATATATTATACTTTAAATTTAAAGTAGGAAATCTATATTATGTTTTAATAAATCTGATTACTAATCGTATATATCATAAAATGTAAATATAGTTTAAGGTTTTTGGTATAAATCTGAAAACAATAAAAACCGGTAGTATATAAAGCAAACCAAACCAAATTTAGATATGATATTAATATGGTAACTAATTATTACAAACTGAAATACCGAAAAATAAAATAAAATCGAGCCAAAACCGAACATCGTTTTGACAACACCGTTATGGCCATAACATCTTTCGCAGGCAGTGAGACAGCATCTTTAACAAAACCCTTTTAAAGAAACAAGTTATATAAATCACAATCCAAAATTCGATGAGTGTACAGCACGTTAGGAAACGAGTTATGTGGTTCCAGGCCTGTTCCAACGTTCCAAAGAGATTCAAAATTGGATTGGACATTGGTTGAGAAACAGTGAACAAGCCCATTAATTTTTATTGGCACCAAGTAAAGCCGACTTGAGTTGTGAAATCAGTCATACTCATACATCGTCCTATAACCGTATGATACATGAATATGCTACGCAAAACTATTGTCCCCAATGTCTGGATGATTAAGGCAAAACCATTTCATTTGTTCTAAAAAACGGATGGTGTTGGTTTGTGTGTTGGCTCAGTTGTAGACATGATTAGAGCACCCCTATCAAGGGTTGATGAGGGAAGTTCAC